CCCCTGTAGCTCATGTCTTGGCCCCTGTTATGGCCCCTGTACCGAAGACATAATACTGGATCTGCGCTGGAACAGACAGGGTCTTTTGGATCTATTTCTTTTCTTTTTTCTAAAATTTATTTTTATTTTACAAATTTTGTTTTACTAATTATTTAAAAACAACGCGATACAAGGCGATAGCTTCCGTGGGATTGAAATAGAATCCAAGTTTTCATCTGCTAAATATATTTTTTAAAACAAATTTAAAAAAATAATAATTTTTACAGCTGAATTTATCAGTTTTTCTTGAGTTCTAATTCAGATTTTACAGAAAATGTAATTTTTACTTATATTAAGTCAAAAATATGTAAAAATCCTAAATATATTGACCTAATAAGACATAGAATTTTAATTAAACCTAATTGAATAAAAAAAATGTCTCTTCATTTCATGCTTTTCTGGGCCACCATGAAAAAATGCTGGCCCCCTCCTGGCCCCCTGGTACATTTGGTCTAGAACCGCCACTGGCCTCCAGTAAAGCACATTCAGATGCAAATTACTCTGAATTAAAAACACTGATCATTTATTGAACAGGATGGAATAATTTCATATTTAAAGCACTTTAATAAGTTTGAATTCTGAATATGGCCAGACTTTTATTGGAATTTGTGAAGTATTCTACTTTAAAAAAACAAAACAAAATATAATAATAATGGAATAATAACAGGTTGCTCTCATCTCAAATGACTTTTATTACTATTAAGATTATTTGATAAACTTAACTGTGTCGCTTAGGATTTTTTTTATACCAGTAATATTAGAATTGATGTTCGGCTGTTGATGTTTCTCTGCTGCTTTAGAGGGAAAGTAGCTTCAGCCTTAAACGAACAAAGAAGTTGTGATCAGACTGGAAGTTTTAGAGCATTCTTACTTCTTTCTCTGCCAAACAATACAGAAAGCCGACGTAGAGAAAACCCCTGGAGACACTGCGTTCATTGTGTTGATAGATTTCCGTTTCAATCTGACCTCAGTGTTTGGTGTCTCCAGGTGGGAGTAGCTAAAGCCTGGAGGATTAATCCATCAGAGCCGATCGTCATCCGACTTCACTTCTCCCCGTCTCAGTATCTGGATGGACCTGGTGAGCCCCGGGAACTAGTATACAGAGGTGTCCAGTAATGACGTACAAATACGTCATTACTTTATTTATAGGTATAGGGGAGGATTTTCACCAATTTTTTAAAAAATACACGCCCTCTCCACGTAGAAAAAAAAAAAAAAAAGGAAAACATACATGCACAACCTCTACCTGCTCCAGAGAGGGAAAGTCTATTAAAGGTGTACGAGAGCGTGCACAAGCCCATTTCTCCTCGTGCACGCTCTGTTTAAAAGTTGCTGTTTGCATCGGTCATACAAGCTTACTTTCCAAAAGCATATTTGCAATTTTTTTCAACATGTTAGACTCACCACAGGTAAGTGAAAATGGGGACGAGCAAAGTAAACATATCACCAGAATGATTGACAATCAGGAGGACCAATTATTTTGATGATCCACCGGAAGAAAAAAAATTGTCCACTATACCTTTAAGTAGAAATTTTTACTTCTATTCCTTAAAGTCTTTTGCAATTATCTCTTCTTTCTACTCCTTACATTTTTACACAAATATCTGTACTTTCTACTCCTTACATTTTTAAAAATTGGCTCGTTACTTTAGTTTTGAATCATTTCAATGGAGTTACCGTTATTATTTTTCACGTCATCAATACCAAATTCAATCTAATTAGATGGGAATCTACGTTGCATTTTTATATTATATTATCATTTTTTATCCTAAGTGTATATATTAGTCTATTTTTTGCATGCCTTATACCCCAGTGTTTTTAGAGATTTTTATAATTTTATTTACCTATTCCATATTATATGTTTCATGTTGCACGATTGTACCATAAAAAATTCCTAGTTGCAAACTCCTTCACTAACAATGGCAATAAACCCGATTCTGATTCTGATTTGACGCACCACTACAAGATGAATCGACAGATTCGGCGATATTCATTGGCGGCAAATCATTGCAGCTTGGTGGCGGTGGCGCTAGCATAGTAGCATGGACGACGAGATGATTGAAAATGAACACAACGGAGATCTAGTCCTATTGGCAGACATCCATTTAAAATGTAGGCAACGGCATGAAAAAAGTGGTTTCTACTTTTACTTTTATACTTTAAGTAAATTTACAAGCCTGTACTTTGTTACTTTTACTTGAGTAAAGAAGTTTAATCAGTACTTCCACTTTTACCAGAGTATTTTTTAACACAAGTATCTGTACTTTTACTCAAGTACGGAAAGTGAGTACTTTTGCCATCTCTGATCATTGCAACCCCCACCCCATTATAGGGAACCAGAGCACCTCACCTCTTGAGCCAGGCCAAAAATTCCCTTTAACGACCCCCTTATAGAGACATAGACAGGTTTCAGGTATTATAGGCTAACAAAGAAAAAAAAACGACCCAAATTTGAAATTCGTCAGGTTCAATTAGCGTGTTTCTAAACCAAAACAAGGCTCTGTTTTGCTCCACTCTATAAAGACTTGAACTCAAAGCTATTTCTGACATTTTGAATTGAAAAAGCTTCCTGGATGGGAAGAGAAACGTCTTCAAACTTGGAAACTGGATTGTTCTTTAACTTTTTTGGAATTCCTTTAATAGGGCAGTGCAGTAAAAATTCTGTCCTTTTACAAAAATTGTAAATTAAAATTGTACTTTTACACTTTTACTGGAGTAAAAAGCTGCAACTGATCCTCTGCTACAAAAGTGTTTTGAAACATGAGATTTATATTTCGACTGGAGTAATAAACATTTATACTTTTGACACCTTTGTTAGTATACAGACAAAAATGCAACATCTGAGGGATCAATGTTTCTCCCCACAGTGCCCTCTGTGGAAGTCTTTCAACCATCGAATACTGAGGATACGTTCAGTGTAGGAAGGCAACTGAAAAAGTGAGTTTTACCGCTCAGATTCCTGGCGATGAATCATGAAGTGATTAATTGATTGTTTTTTGGTGACTAATTCATGTTTGCTTGCCAGTATTCTTACAGTCTTCATAGCTCAGGAGTGGAAACACCTGACAAACTGCCCTGTTGTCCAGAAAAGGAGCAAACACAACTGGTTGAGACCCAGTGGGACCATCAAGAAGTTCAGCTCTCGATTTAGTTTATGGTTACCACCGCCGAGGTACGACGAAGCTTTGCAAACATCTCAGTTTTAATTAGGATTGGATGAACAGGCTATTTATGAGATTAAATTCTATTTTTATTATAATCAGGTCAAATGAGATCCAGCAACTGTCAGGCAAAGACAGGAAAGCAAGAAGACAGAATCATTTTACAAACCAAACGACTTCTTACAACATCAAGAACCCAACAGGAGAACTGTTTACATACACAGCTGGAGGAAAGGTTTGGACTTTCTTTGATCAAAATGATTCATGCCCATGCTTTTTACTTTTTACTCATTTTATTCCCCAAAGATTTTTATTTCAAACTGATATTTTTTGTGATTTGGACGGTTTCAGAAATGTGTCTTCTTTAAATAATTAGAAACATTTCTCAAGTATCAATAAAATTGTGTAAATAATAACTTACCAACATTTGGTCGGTTAGGCTAGATTGTCTGCAACTTTTCCATGTCTGCCATCTTTCAATATATGCATTGTCATCAGCTTCTTTGATCCAAAAATGTCTCAGGAGCTTCTGTCAGATTTGGGTTCTGAAAGCAGTAAATTAACACAAACTTTCCCCCCCAGAAAGTGATGGTTTCAGCAGTCAAATCTTCAGCACATCTGAGCCCCAAACAGCTGGTGGAGCTGCTGTTCACCTCCCAGGCCATCAGACATTGTAAAAGCACCCCCACCCTGCAGCATGGCTTCCTGGTTCAGGTAAGGCGGGGTTCTGTTGACGCTAGGGTGGCTGAAATATGTGATCTTGCAAGTGTCCATGAGTAATATTCCTGCAGTGTTTAGACCAGAGGTGATGGATTAGCGGACCGCGGTCCAGATCCAGACCCAACCTGATTTAAAACATTTATAGATTACTGCATGTAGTCTGACGGCAGTGTC